TCAGGAGGTCTTGCAAAGCTGATGGCTCATGCAAGCACAGAACAAGTCCGGCATCGAATCTACTATCTCTAGGAGACAAATGGTGTCAGTGGAGGGCTGTCACACATGGGATGAAGTCGGCAGGAGGCTAACCAGGCAATGCTGCACACGGGGACACAGGACCTATCACGGTGTCCCAGATCGAGTGAACAGCGGTCTAACTCAGGGCTAACTCCAGTCTCTTCAGGGGGAAAAGCCAAGTTCCCAAGAACAAAACCTCACATCCTTTGAAGCCAGGGCCCCAGCCCCTCTCATCCTCTCCTTGCTCTGGTCCCTCCCTCTGGTCAGTAGATTCAGATTTGAAGGGATCCAGGTGTATTTGGGGTATGGATAATATTAAAATATTGTTTTATGTTGTTTTACTTTATTAAAAGGCCGGCTTTGGAGTGGACTATGGCTCTCCCTTTCCTGACCCAAACATGCTTGTTTAAAAGTGTCCCCCCCCCCCCCCCCGGAATCTCTGTTCTGAGTCAGCCAGTCATCCGACTCTGAGACAGGCAGAGGGAGAGCGGAACAGAACAGCCCAGGAGAAGATGTAATATGCTTTTGAACAGCTGAAAAGGAGGCTGTTCCCAGTGGGAGTTACTGCTGCGTATCTCGTACTCCTCTTCTTGGTTTCATTAACTCTCTAAAACTTTTAAAGTATAAACTTAATTTCAAGATTTGTAAGGCTGTTGTGTAAACTTTCTGTACCTCAAGATTTGTAAGTTTATTTGGTATGGTTAAAGATCTGTAAAATCTGTAACAAAAAGTTAGCTTAAAACTTATGACAAGGGGCTGGAGAGATGGCGGTCAGGAGCACAGTGTACTCTTCCAGAGGACCTGGGTTCAATTCCCAGCACCCACATGACAGCTCACAGCTATCTGGGGATTTCAGACCCTCACATGGACATACATGCAGGCAAAACACCAGTGCACAGAAAAAAAAAATCATTAAAAAAACAACTTCTAACAAAAGGGTTGGTAAAGATCTATACATAGGTAATCTTAGTTTGCTAATTCATGCTTGTATGTAATTTGGAATCAACGCTTTTGTTGATTTTGTTTCAAAAATAGATGTTTTTTAAAAAAGAGAAAGTAAATAGCATCTGTATGGCTTGGTGCCATCTTGGCTAAGACTCCATCAGGATGGAAGCACCCCATGGGGCAGGCAGGCATCTTGGCTGATGACCTCGGAAGTGACATTGTGACTGGCAGACATCTTTACTAAGGTTAAAGAGAGTGCATGCCCTGTGGCTTCACCATCCTGACTGAGGTAAACTAAGTAAGGCAGCACCCATAAAGCTTCTTAGTCCTCCTGAACCTCTTCTCATCATTGTATCTACTTTTTAAACTAAGGAGGCAACAGCAGGTCCCCAGGATATTTTGGATTAGCATGGGCTTTTGTATGATGATTTTTGTCCTGAAAGTAAAAATCTTAGATAAAAAAAAGACGTATGCTTAATAAGGTAGGCTTAATCAAGGTTAATAAATTCCAAAGGTTATAAAGTTCTACTCAGGTTAATAGATGTCTGTCTGATCACTTATGTCCTTGGTAACTGTGTTCAACACCAATATTCTAGAAAATTTTAGATAAGAAACAATGTATGTTTGATAAATAAGGTTTATAAATACCTAAGGTCTATTCAGGCTAGCAGAAACTGACTTGAACATATATGGATAGCCTTTGTGTCTTGGCTAACTTTGTGAAGTTTTAGCTATTTGGATAAACTAACAATGCTATTCAATAAAGGTACAGTATAAAAGGATCAGAAAGATAAGGTTCCCAAGTCATTCTGTGGATGGTATATATGGTTTTAAGTTTTATTTTGCTGCTAAAGGATTTTTAATTAAATCTTCAATTCAAAATTTTAAGGCTAAAACTTAACGAGGATAAAAGTATAAAATCCTAATTTTGTAAAAGCTGCTAACTTGTTGTAAACTGTTAAAGATAACTAAGACATGCAAGTTACCGGTCAGTCACCTCGTAAATGATCAGATTCTTTAATGTGCTCAGAACTAAGCTTGCAGTCACGTTAAGTGCATTTTATTTATAGGGACAAACTTTATTTAACCTTTTGTATAAGTTATCAAGGATAAGCCTGAAGCAAGTAACTAAAAACAAGTAAAGTTTGTTTAAAATTAGGTATACTTAATAGACTAGATGATGGACCTCAAACTCAGAGATCTACTGAAAATGGCGTTTAAAATGTTTAATGAAAAACCCCTTCCTATGACAGACAATAATGCCAGCCCTTAGAAGTAGCCCCAAGGCCCCTTCCAAAGAAGATGAAGGGACACAGACAAGTCCTCCTGGAGTGTAGTAACACTAACCATTTGGCAAGGACATGCCCCATGCCTCACCTGCCACCAGGATCCTGCCAGAACTGTGGACAAGCAGGACACAGGAGAATTAGCTGCCCCTCTTTGCCTTGCCAAGGTAGGCCAGTCTCTCATCCATAGGAAAGTCACCCAGACCTTCTGGGCCTAGCAGCTTAAGGTTGATGGCAGTCAAAGACTGACACTTCCCTGACCCCCACCCCCAAAGAAACCACCAGAACATGATAACATGGTGGAGCTTAGGGCACTTGTCCAGGTGGGCAACTCACTATAATTTTAATTGATACAAAGGACATCTGGATTATGCTTCATACTCACATTTATCCTTCTCAGATTTCTGATGCTGTTGATGGCTAACTAGAGCTCTACCATTTTAGCCAGCTTCCCCCTCCACCCTCCCAACCCCCCCCCTGTAGAAATTGGGCCTTGCATTTTCTAGGGCTACTAGGTCTGCTGAGAAAGACAAACTCACAGTTTACCTTGCTAACAGGCTTCATACTGAAAGAAATATACTCCCCAAACAGGTTTCAATGTAAAACAAACTCAAGCTCTCATGTTGCTGTTACTAACTAAAATTGTATTTTTTACCATTCCATTTTTTAAGGGAACTTTTTTGCAATGACTGCTCTAGTAAGTCAACCATCTGTGTCTCATGGCAAAAAACTGGAATGAAAAGGAAAAAAAGAACCAAAGTTTATGCAAGTTGTGAGAGTCTAAGAAATAATTTAAGGTATGTAAATGCAAACTATAAAGGTCTGAGGAAATGATGTAAGCTAAATAGAAAATGTTTCAGATTTCTTTCCCTCACACTATGCTATAATTATATTAAGTTCAAAGTTTTAACATTAATCAATGAAGTTCTGATAAGCTATTAATCTAGCCCTGGTAAACCACTGACTATTATTATCATAGTCACAAGCTCAAAATTTAAATTTCCTTTGGTTGTTTTCAAAATATAGTCTTAAAAGTGTTTCTCACTGTGCTAAAAACATTTCTGTCCTTCCTTGCTTTCTTCCCTCTTTCCTTCCTTCCTTCTTTCCTATCTATCTATCTATCTATCTATCTATCTATCTATCTATCTATCCATCCATCCATCCATCCATCCATCCATCCATCCATCCATCCATCCATCCATCTATCCATCCATTCACCCATCCATCCATCCACCCATCCAATCTACACCCTGTCTGTCTGTCTGTCTGCCTGCCTGCCTGTCCGTCCGTCCATCCATCCATCCATCCATCCATCCATCCATCCATCCATCCATCCA